CATCAATATTCGCTCTTGTCGAGGCGGGATCTTCACCGAGGTCCTCCGCGACACCCTCACACGTGTCCAATGGGTCGACCGGACATGTCGCCCTTTCGCAGACTACAGCTCCTCACCATCTGCTGTAGAACCTTCTGAGTTGGCTGGTGTGTGGTGGCCCGTTGCCAATACCTCGGCCCTTCTTTGGCATAAAGTTAGTAGTCTAGGTCTCTCAGCACGTTCATACCTAGTGTCACGTCCATCCCTCTCCGGGACAAATGATCCACCAGCACAACCCCCTTCTTGCCGACGTCTTGCCCACACAGCCAGACCCGCATCCAGACTATTCCTCAGACGTCCATCTCTCTGTTATTGGCAGCCGTCAGCTTGATGACGCTCCCATCTTCCGGCTCCATCATATGTCCAAAGCATCTTTCGAAGAAACTCCAGAGGCATAAGGGTGCACTCCAACCCTGTATCAACTAGGCAGCATACCCTGGCCTTCCAACTCAGCTTCCATAATGGGGCTGCTGGCATACAGGTCGTGTTCCTCATGCTTAGGGCTTAGCTTCTGGTGTACCGCCGCAGGACACCCAGCTACTGCGGCGGGTCGGAAGTTTAACGTCAGCTCGGACTTCATCTGTTCTGGGCACTCTCTGGCCATATGGCCGTACTGTCGACAAGCCCAACAGAGGGATCCCCTTTTGACGTGCCCCTGCAGCTGAGTTATCCGGGGTGGAGTGGCGTGGGGTGCTGGGGTCATTTCCGGAGACCGGGGAGATTCTGCCTTCATCTGGGAGACTACTAGCCAAAGTTCTCTTAATTCTGTCCACAGGGCCTGGACTACATCCTTTAAGGATTCTGAGTCTTCAGATGCAGACTGACCTCTTGTAGCATGGGTACTACTCACTATTCTCGCCGCCACAGGTATGCACTCTTCCTCTCTCTCCACGGCGGCTAAGTAGATGCTGTAGAATGTCATGTTGGGCGCCATCCGGATCATCTCTTGCAATTTGTCCTGTAAGAACTTGTTGGAGAGCCCCACTATGAACTGATCTCGTAGTAGCCGGTCCACCTCCCGGAAAGCTCCCATGGCCTCTGGATCTCACCGCTGTATTTCATTTAATGTCTCCTGTAGGGGCATTGGAGTACTGCATCAGGGTCTCGCCCTCTTGCTGTGGTCGGTTGAAGAAGTGGCTCCGCAGCTGCACTACTTTAGCACACCCCCTTGGGCTCTCTCCAGCAGGGAGAATATTTTTCTCTAGGGTGTCTCTCTCAGATTCGGGCCTTACCATCACTGTCCGTCTGACGTCACCCTCTAGAGCCCCCAATGCAACCTCTGCCTGCAGCTCGGACGTCAGGTTACATATTCTAACCGCACTTCGCATTCTTTCAGTCCAGTCCTGCAACGTCATATTTTTACTGTCAAATTTTGGCAGGTGACTCAAAAGCACCCCCATGGGAATGTATCCTACTTGGAGGGGCAGGGCGCGGGCAAGCTGTACCAGCGGTGTTGGGGCAACTTGGTCTTGCACCGGTGCACCCTGAGCTGGGTCCTGGACCGGTGCCATTGGCGCCGGGGGAAGATCTCCCGCCGCATTCCCATCCATAACGATCGCTGTATCCTGCCGACTATGCCAAGTTGTAAGCCATGTACCGGGGTGGGCTCCCCAGGATACAGTGAAGTCACGAACGAGGAAAGCAACCCTGACACCAGCTTTTGCAACAACAGAATTTTACTTACAGTTGTGTCCAAAATTATTCAACCCCCAATGCTGTAAAGGGGTTTAGGGACTATAGTGTACATTTGGAATTGTATTCAGAATCAAATCCTACAAGGACGTTGTAACTACCCAAATGCAACTAAAATGACATCAATTGTTTATGTAATACAGTAGTAAATGGTTCTTATGTGGTTTCTTCATTGCCACAATTATTCAACCCCTTAAAGACTACCACTCTGAAGAACAGAGGTTCATACAGGTGCTTTCCATCAGGTATTGAAAACACCTGTGGATGTCACCGAGCAGCAATCAAGCATAATAAGCACCAATTAGGCAGCTTTAAAATGACTGTGATACTCAGCTCCTTCTAGACATTTACTGGTGTGGTTACAAACATGGTGAAGGCAAGAGAATGGTCCAGGAAGACAAAAGAAGAGGTGATTTCTCTTCACAGGAAGGGCAATGGCTATAAGAAGATTGCAAAGATGTTAAACATACCAAGAGACACCTTAGGAAGCATCATTCGCAAATTCAAGGCAAAGGGCACTGTTGAAACGCTACCTGGTCGTGGCAGAAAGAAGATGCTGACTTCGACTGCTGTGCGCTACCTGAAGCGTAGAGTGGAGAGAAGTCCCCGTGTGACTGCTGAGGAACTGAGAAAAGATTTGTCAGATGTGGGTACAGAAGTTTCAGCCCAGACAATAAGACGCACACTGCGTAATGAAGGCCTCCGTGCCAGAACTCCCAGGCGTACCCCCTTGCTGTCTCCAAAGAATAAGAAGAGTCGACTGCAGTATGCCAAAAGCCATGTGGACAAACCACAAAAGTTGTGGGATAGTGTTCTGTGGACTGATGAAACAAAATTAGAACTGTTTGGGCCCATGGATCAACGCTATGTTTGGAGGAGGAAGAACAAGGCCTATGATGAAAAGAACACCTTGCCTACTGTGAAGCATGGTGGAGGGTCAATCATGCTTTGGGGCTGTTTTGCTTCTGCAGGTACAGGGAAGCTTCAGCGTGTGCAAGGTACCATGAATTCTCTTCAGTACCAGGAGATATTGGATGGAAACGTGATGCAGTCCGTCACACACCTGAGGCTTGGGAGACGTTGGACCTTTCAACAGGACAATGATCCCAAGCATACCTCCAAGTCCACTAGAGCATGGTTGCAGAGGAAAGGCTGGAACATTTTGGAGTGGCCATCGCAGTCACCAGACTTAAATCGATTGAGAACCTCTGGTGGGACTTAAAGAAAGCAGTTGCAGTGCGCAAGCCTAAGAATGTGACTGAACTGGAGGCCTTTGCCCATGAAGAATGGGCGAAGATACCCGTAGATCGCTGCAAGACACTTGTGTCAAGCTATGCTTCACGTTTAAAAGCTGTTATAACTGTAAAAGGATGCTGTACTAAGTACTAAGATTGAATGTCACTTGGGGGTTGAATAAAACTGATAATGCTGTGAGCACAGAAAAGACATTTGTGGTTATTTCATTATAACTGTTATGTTATATTTGTCTGACCTACAAGTGCCTCTTTAATGTAAATGTAAGCAAGATGACTGAATGATCAAAAGCAATGTCAAACTGGCCAAAACACTCAATTTCAGTGGGGGTTGAATAATTTTGGACACAACTGTAGATGTGGCAAATAAACACAACCACAAATGCTGGAAACATACAATAAATTTACATACACCCAGCCCAAAGGCTGAGACCCCTGTGCGGCACAGCACGGCACCTTCTGATGGATTAAGGTAGAAAGTGTAGTAATTTACCTACTGGTGGGCACAACTAAGCTGCCACACCTTACCTGTTATTATAACTAACTATTGGCCTGTCTCAGTCTCAAGGCGCCAACACTGAAATGAGGTGCATGCACGATCTTACCGACCCGGGTCTGCTTTGCATCCGCTGCTGACTCTGAACAGAACAAATGTCTCTCCAACAAGCAGCAATCTCATCAGTATTCCTGGCAGCAATCTTCCTTTCTCTGAACAGGATCAGCGTCTTGAACACAATCAGATTCACTTAGCTGCATTTCTGATTACGGAGGGATGTTCTCACACCTGGATGGCATCGGATTCTCAGCTCACACACAGCCCCATTCTCTAAAGCATGGCTGCTGTCTCCTCCTCCTGTTCACTCCTGTGTGAAAACCCCCTCTTCATGAATATAGAAGTATCTATGCAGTCTGAGGCTGTGTTAGGAAAACAGTGACATCTTGTGGCTAAACCGCAGAATGTCAGTCAAAACATTTGATTTACTCAAAACAGTGTTCAAACAATGAGAGCTGTTTCCCCATCTTACAACTATAGGCAGCTGTAATTAAACTATAAGAACATAGGGATAGTCTAGGGATAGTCATCAGGATTCCGGTACTGTATTAGTAAATGCTGTTTTTTTTCTCTATGAGAATGTGAGTGATTTTAACAAACTTTAATAAACTTTATATATGGATTCAGGATATGAGAGCTTTGTTACTCCTTTTCTTTATTTCTCTGAGCACTTATTGAGCACTTGTGAAGTTGCTTGAGAAGCGCTGAGTGTCCTTCCAAGAGGGGCTCTGGAACACATGATCTTCACATCAAGCGTGTTTTGACTTCTCTGAGGTTGAAAGTTGCATTCATTGTGGTAAGCACATATATGTGCTGTGGTGGAAGGAGCCCTTGGGTGTTTTATGTTTGAAGAGCACCATCGTTTTAAAATTATTGCACAGTGGTGGACACATTGTTTTGCAAGGACTTTAATGATACACTATACTGCCAAAAGTATTGGGACACCTGCCTTTACACACACATGAACTTTAATGGCATCCCAGTCTTAGTCCATAAGGTTCAATATTGAAATGGCCCACCCTTTGAAGCTATAACATCTTCAGCTCTTCTGGAAAGGCTGTCCACAAGGTTTAAGAGTGTGTCTATGGGTATGTTTAACCACATTTGTGAGGTCAGGCACTGATGTTGGATGAGAAGGCCTGGCTCACAGTTTCTTCCCTACATCATCCCAAAGGTGTTCTATCAGGTTGAGGTCAGGACTCCACCCCAAACTCACTCATCCGTGTCTTTATGGACTTGCTTTGTGCACTGGTGCACAGTCATGTTGGAACAGGAAGGGGCCATCCCCAAACTGTTCCCCCAAAGTTGGGAGCATGCAATTGTTCAAAATATCTTGGTATGCTGATGCCTAGGGCCAAGCCCGACCCCTGAAAAACAGCCCAACACCATAATCCCCCCTTTCCAAACTTTACACTTGGCACAATGCAGTCGGGCAAGTACCGTTCTCCTGGCAACCGTCAAACCCAGACACGTCCATCGGATTTCCAGACAGAGAAGCGTGATTGTTCACTCCAGAGAACATGTCTCCACTGCTCTAGAGTCCAGTGGTGGTGTGCTTTACACCACTGCATCCGACACTTTGCATTGCACTTGGTGATGTAAGGCTTGGATGTAGCTGCTCGGCCATGGAAACCCATTCCATGAAGCTCTCTATGCACTGTTGTTGTGTTAATCTGAAGGTCACACAAAGTTTGGAGGTCTTTAGCTATTGACTCTGCAGACAGTTGGCCACTTCTGCGCACTGCGTGCATGCTGACCCCTCTCTGTGATTTTACGTGTCGTTCCCAGTTGCTTCCACTTTGTTATAATACCACTAACAGTTGCCTGGGGAATATTTAGTAGCAAGGAAATTTCATGCATGGGCTTATTGCACAGGTGGCAACCTATCATGGTACCACGCTTGAATTCACTGAGCTCCTGAGAGCAACCCATTCTCTCACAAATGTTTGTAGAAGCAGTCTGCATGCCTAGGTGCTTGATTTTATACACCTGTGGGCATGGAGGTGATTGGAACACCTGAATCCAGTGATTTGGAGGGGTGTCCCAATACGTTTGGCAATATAGTATATGTTGGTCTTTTTATTAATGGTTTTATTATATTGATTGATCACTTCATTAGTGCGGCATATGCTTAGATTGTTTACAATTACTACACTTACATTTACTTGCATGTAGTAGTCATTGTTTGCAGAAATTTGGAGCATTTTGCTACCTACAGTATATCAATTACTGGCTACTACATAGCATACTTCTTTTTCCTTATATGTACCAATTGATTGCTAATTGCTAACAATTAATCATAGGCGAAGACAGACAATTTTGGTAGCATGATCGCATTAGCAAAAATCATCCATGTGTGCCAAGCATAAGGCTCTGCCTATGATTAGGTCCTAGCAATTAGCTCTACACATATGAAACAGAGGACTTTTGACTGATTGTTATTGGTAATAAGCTTTGTAATTGGAGAGTTTCACTTTTTATTCAGTAAACGAAATATGATTATTTTCTACATTTATAATTTTATTTAAAGGTCATACTTAGGAATTTTACTTGCAAATTCATTTTTATATAGGTGTTGTGAAAAAAGGTAGGTAGTGCTATTTACAAAGTTGTTACTTTAACTACTTATATTTACAATCTAAAGTAAGGGGGAGTCAAAGTTCTAAATAATGTCTCTACATCCCGTCATGAGCATGTTGGCTATGAAGGTCGGTGACATACTGTAATAGTGTAATTTTATCTCACGCTTTTATGTCATTAATTCCCCTATAAAAAAAATTCAGCTGGATAAAGTGGTAGTAAACTGCACCTAAAAAAAGAAAATATAAAAATCCCCTGCAAGTTAATGTCATAATGTTCTGCTATGCATCGCATACTAGCACATTATGAAGGACTTACCCTAAAACAAAGCCCTCCAGCAGCATGCTACCACCAGCCTTCCGGGTTCACGAGCTCCACTCGTCTGACTGGCTGAGTCGCAATGACATCACTCCGCATGCATGTGGGAGTCCCGGGCCCACGGCACAATGCTGTGAAGGAACAGCACAAGTATGCTGTTCCTTCAGAGCGCATTCGCCATCTCTCAAAAAGAGCGAATATCTCCTAAACGGTACACATTTAGGAGATATTTAGTTTACCTACATGTAAGCTTTATTATAAGCTTACTTATAGGTAATTGTATAGAAAAAGAGTTTACTTCCACTTTAAGGGACACTCCATCCCAGGGGCGGACTGACAACTCATGGGGCCTCCGGCAATAGGGGATCATGGGGCCCCTGTGTCCTTGCCCAAACTCAAAAAAGCCTATGAAAAAAAGGTACCAGGGGCATCTCATGGGGCCCCCTACTGACCCCGGGCCCTCCGGCAGTGCCCGAGTTTCCGAATGGTCAGTCCGCCCCTGCGTCCATCCTTCCAGTTAACTAGCTCTGGACTGACTGTATTTCCTATTCTTTAGGCTTCTGTTTCCACTCTAGTATATGTCTGGTCACCATAAACCATGCAAGGATAGCTAAGAGATGGCCATGGTATTCTGGGATACCACTTTCTACATTTTGTATTTTTTTATTTTTTTTTTTAAGGTCCAACACTCCCAACTGAACAGCTCCAATACTTAATGTGTTCCTGCTTTAAATTAAAGCGGAGCTTCACCCTTCCTAACACCCATGGCTCTACTGGTAGCTAACACCTCTGCCTTTAATCTTTGGATTTTTTTTTAATTATTTTTTGTATAAGTACCTTAATGATGTTTAAATTTCCCACACTTCTGGGTCTTGTTGCCACGGCGTGGTACATCATCTCCAGTCTCAGGATGAGTCAACAGGCATCCTCCGCACCTGGCAATGCGTTATTTTAAATCTGGAAATGATGTGAAGCCAGGTGGAGTTAGGTGCCATTTTTGAAAGGTGAACTTGCTGTTTTGACGATGCAGGGTACTGGGCAGTATTGGAGGAGGAAATGGCTGCAGTGGTAAACAGGTGGTGTTGGTGCATTGTGGCAGTACACTGTGATGGAGGCACTCAATTTGGCAGAGCATACACAAGATCAGGAGCTGCAAGCTGGGTAAACCAGCTGCACTAAATCCCAGAAACACACTGGTGTCAGCTTCAAATGCCCACACCGAAGATGGCCGCTGCCAGAATGTTGTCAGGACACAGTAACCCAGACATTTAAAAAGCAAGGACAATATGTTATTTTATTGACAATATTTATATTAAAAAATGTTTTAAAGGATCATGGGAATGTTGTTATTGTATTTTTGAGTAGGAGACCGTTGCTCCTCTTTAAATTATCAGAACCAAGAAATGGTTTGCTTTTAGATTATATTTTATTCTTTGGAATAACTGTTACTAATCAGACTTAAATGTTCACTGCTCTTTATTTCAGGAATGGATTGCAGTGTATCAATTCGGTTGTATCTTGTTCAGCTTTTCTGTAAACACAGAAGTCACATGCATGGCTAGCAGAGAGGAAGGCCTTTAATATACTGTACACAAGGGTTCATAATGTAAATTTGAACTCCAGCCAAGAAGCTACATGCATTTGTTAAAAAACAAATATATGTGAACTGTTTTATCTGCCAAAATAGTTGTCATTTTGTTCAGTCATTTTTATGATTTACACCCTCCTCTAAAATGCCCTATGTCAGGCATGTCCAAAGTCCGGCCCGCGGGCCATTTACGGCCGGGGGTCGGTTTAAAAACGACCCTCCAACAGCCCTTCCTGCTCTGTGTAATGTGGCCCTCCCACGGCCCTCCCTTCTATGGCAGACAGTCTTCTACTTTTAAACAGAGGGCAGTGCCATGCCTGACTGCGGCGCGTTCTCCCTGCTCTGTGTAAATGCGGCTGTCACACGGCCCCTCCCTTCTGTGGCAGACAGTCTTCTGCTTGAGAGCAGTGCTCATGCGTGACTGTGCCGCGCTGGGAGCGACAGAGGGCGGTGACGTCAGGGCCGGGCTTCCAGCGTGAAGTGTGTTTCTCTTCCCCTCCTGGCTGCCGAATAGAGACTTCAGTACCTTTTTCACCCTTCACATTAGTGCAGGTAAGTTTTTTTTTTTTTATTTTCAATACATTGTGAAAACTCAGCTGTCAGTTGATCTTAATGTTATGAAATGAAAAGTATGTCGTTTGCAATTAACTTGGCATAAAATAATTTATTTGCATTTAATTGTAATGGTTCAAATGTTCAGAAAAATGTTCGGCCCCTCCACGATGTTCACTTCATCCAATCTGGCCCTCTTTGAAAAAAGTTTGGACACCCCTGCCCTATGTGTTCGTAACATTTGAAAATGACACCATAATTATTTGTTTATTTTTGGTTCTTACTTATGCCATTGTGTACCTGCTGGGAATTCATCTGGTTCTCTTCATGGAGCTACAATAGAAACTGTTTTGACATCTCTCTGATAGGGATAGGGATAGCAGCAAGTGCCTGACAAAGGTTCTAACCTATCTGTAGTCACCTAAAATAAAAAAGAAAGCAACATTGTGGTTTTACTGTAGCAAATTGTTTGCACTATGCTATGTAGTAAAATCTGAAGCTGACACTAATGATGCAACAGCATATCTTGTCACGGAAACCACCATTACTTGGGCTCCTGCAGGGGCCTGCAGGCCAGCCTCCTTCCCACCGACTATTGCCCTAGGACTAAGGAGACCCCCCTCTTGGGGTTACAAGGAACTTTTTCCCCAAGAGGGTTATATCACTTACCTGGGTACGTGGCTTGCCATTAATTATAGTAGTTACCCTTTCCTTGCAGTTAGGCCTGGAGGGACTGTTTCTGGGACCTCCTGGCATACTGTGCCTAGCGGAACTACACTATATTGCCAAAAGTATTGGGATGCCTGCCTTTACATGCACATAAACTTTAATGGCATCCCAGTCTTAGTCTATAGGGTTCAATATTGAGTTGGCTTATCCATTTGCAGCTATAACAGTTTCAAACTCTTCTGGGAAGGCTGTCCACAAGGTTTAGGAGTGTGTCCATGGGAATGTTTGACCATTCTTACAGAAGCGCATTTGTGAGGGCAGGCACTTTTGTCGGATGAGAAGACCTGGCTCGCAATCTCCACTCTAATTCATCCCAAAGGTGTTCTATTGGGTTGAGATGCAGGCCAGTCAGGTTCCTCCAACCCAAACTCACTCCTCCATGTCTTTATGGACCTTGCTTTGTGCACTGGTGTGCAGTCATGTTGGAACAGAAAAGGGCCATCCCCAAACTCTTCCCACAAAGTTGTGAGCATGAAATTGTCCAAAATGTCTTAGTATGCTGACGCCTTAGGCGTTTCCTTTACTGGAACTAAGGGGCCCAATCACTCAAAAGCAATCCCACATCATAATCCCCCCTCCAAAATTTACACTTGGCACAATGCAATCAGGCAAGTACCGTTCTGCTGGCAACCGCCAAACCCATACATTTTCATCAGATTGCCAGACAGAGAAGCGTGATTGGCCACTCCAGGGAACACGTCTCCACTGCTCTAGTCCAGTGGCGGTGTGCTATACAACACTGCATCCGACACTTTGCATTGCACTTGGTGATGTAAGGCTTGCAGCTGCTCGGCCATGGAAACCCATTCTATGAAGCTTTCTACGCAATGTTGTGCTAATCTGAAGGCCACATGAAGTTTGGAGGTCTTTAGCTATTGACTCTGCGGACAGTTGGCGACTTCTGTGCACTTCAGCATGCGCTGACCTCGCTGTCATTTTACGTGGCCTACCACTTGGTGGCTGAGTTGCTGTTGTTCCCAGTTGCTTCCATTTTGTTATAATACCACTAACAGTTGACCGTGGAATATTTAGTAGCAACTAAATTTCACGGATGGACTTATTGCACAGGTGGCAACCTATCACGGTACCATGCTTGAATTCACTGAGAGTGACCCATTCTTTCACAAATGTTTGTAGAAGCAGTCTGCATGCCTAGGTGCTTAATGTTTACACCTGTGGCCATGGAGGTAATTGGACCACATGAATCCAGTGATTTGGAGGGCTGGCCCAAAACTTTTGTCAATATAGTGTATGTGCAGGTGAATTCCAGCATATTTGGAGTTAGGAAATTTTATTTTTCTGTTACAGGTTTCCTGGGATCAACTATTGTTTGCTATAATTCGGTTTAGGAGTCCAGGCTGCTAGGTGCTGGGAGGGAATTCATTGCTTTCTTGTTTCATTGCTTCCACCATCAATCCCGCCCTGCAAGCCAAAGTCCTTGGCGTCATTCTGGACTCAAACCTTTCCTTCCAACCTCATGTCAAATCACTTACAAACACATGCAGGCTCCACCTTCGCACCATCGCCAAGATACGCACCTTCCTTACCCCAGACACCACTAAACTACTCGTACACTCCCTGATTATCTCACGCCTCGACTACTGCAACTCCCTCCTCACCGGCCTACCCCAGTGCAAGCTCTCCACACTTCAGACCATCCTGAACTCAGCGGCTAGACTCAGCCACCTCACCAACCGCTCCACCTCTGCCACCCCCCTCTGCATGTCCCTCCACTGGCTCCCTATTGCCCAACACATTAAATTCAAACTACTCACTCTGACCTACAAAGCCATTCACAACACTGCCCTAAACTACCTCACCAACCTGATTCCCAGGTACCACCCTACCCGTACCCTTTGCTCTTCATAGGACCTCCTTCTATCTTGCTCTCTGGTCTCCTCCTCCCACGCACGACTGCAAGATTTCTCCAGGTCCTCCCCCATCCTCTGGAACTCACTACCCGCTCCCCAATCCATCAGACTGTCACCTTCCCTCCTCACCTTCAGGCGTTCCCTGAAAACCCACCTCTTCAGGGAAGCCTACCCCACCCTCACCTAACAGCCATTCTCCTTCATTCCTCCTACCACTCCATCCCCCACAGCCACTTCCTCCTGTACCACTACCCCTCCCTCCTAGATTGTAAGCTCGAAAAAGTAGGGCCCTCTAACCCCTCGTGTGCTCTTTGTTGTTGCTGTACTGTTTCATGTATTGTCCCCCCCCTCTATTGTACAGCACTGAGCAAACCCTTTGGCGCTATATAAACTCGATGTAATAATATTAATAATAATGTAATTTTCTCCTGAGACTTGTAATGTGGGCCATACCTGTCTAGAGGGAATGTTTTTGTGTATAAATCCTGTGCTGTTTGTTAATAACATTGGTCCTTGTTTTACTCCAACATTGGTTCTGTCTGATGCTTGGGGTAAATTGTCTATATTCTGGTTCCAGAGTGGAGGAAGTTGTAGTTTGGCAAATATATCCATTCGGGGTGTCAGGCAGTCCATCACAGGTTTCATAGAGATAAGATACAAGAAATAAAAGTAAAGACTGCACCAAAGAATTGTGTATTTTTAATTCAAGTCAAACAGACAAACAAGGATATGTTTTTAAAGTTATTTAATATAAAAATATCTCATACACATATTACTTGAGATTCCAACATATAAATTACATTCTCAAAGCGATAAGGAACAATATACGTAATCTACATTAACAAAGAAAACAACTTCTAGGACTATTTGAAGGGTTTGTTCATTCAAAACCAATGTTTTGGTTTTTGGGTAGATGTTGGCACCCACCAACTTATTTCACAAGAAATCTCTTGATTTTGCAGTGCCACCTATGTGCCAGGGTAGCTTAGAGAAAACTTTACACTTCATTTTTTTACATTATGTGTAATAAAATTGGAGGAGTGAAATTCTGGGGATCAAAGTAGGTTTGCTATATTGATGGTACTCCCAAGTTTGTGAGGAATCACCTTACCCATTATGTCAATTTAATACTACTGAGGAATGGCTAAAATGTGTTGAAACCATTAGAAAATCACTGGCTTGGCAAATGCTTGTACAGTTGGCAATGGACATTGGATCTTCCTCAGAGACTAGGACAGTGTTCAACAACAGTCTGGGTTTGAAAGAAGAAAACCCTACCCTACCATGGTATGACAAAAATTAATCCCAATCCTCATTCTCTCCACAGCATTCTTTTCAAGACCCAAAACCTATGAAGGACAGACAGCAAGATCCTGACCTGCCAGTTTAGAAAAACATATGCTGACCATATCACGAGGATGTGCAGTGGTAAAGTAGCCTCCCTGCGCTGGATCACGTGCCTAGTATGTGATCTGCGTTCTCGCCAGCCTGGCTGTGCTGTGATTTGTTACAGCACATGCCAATCATGGGGTCCCGGCCAATGATTGAATGCCAGGACCAGCTGATTGGTTCTGTGTTTCACCGAATACAGCTCTGTGATTGTAAACAATACAGAGCTGTGTTCACTGACAGGCGATCTAGTTGTTTTTTCATTTCCTGCTAGCAAAAGCAGCACACATTACACGTAGTTAGGCACACATTTAACCGCTTGATCACCCTAGATTTTAACCCCTTCTCAGCCAGTATCATTAGTACAGTGACAGTGCATATTATTAGCACTGATCACTGTAATAATTTCACTGGTGATGTCAGTTCCGGTTATTCAGTTCCCCCCAGCGTCAGTCAGTGTCAGATTGCCAACCGCACTAACAGTCCCTTTAAAAGTCACTAATCACCGCTATTAGCAGTATAAAAAATCCAGTATATATGCCATAGTTTGTAGACACTATAACTTTAACACCAATCAATATACACTTATTGAGATTTTTTTTTTTTTGCCAAAGACATGTAGCAGAATACATGCTGGCAAAAATTTATGAAGAGATTTGATTTTTTTTTCTTCATTTTTTTATGGGATATGGTTTATAACAACAAGTAAAAAATATTGTTTTGTTTTTTTTTAATTGGCTGTTTTCATTTGAATTGGGAAGCTTTAAAGGATATGTTCACTTTAATCTTTTAAAAATAACAAATGCCCATTATATTGCAAATAAAAAAATGTACATTTACTTTTTTTTTTTTTTTGAGCCTGGACAGCTTTGCTGAAAGATCGCTGGTGCCATGCAGGACTCCTGCAGACCTGTCAGTGTATCTGTGTGCTCGTATCACGATCAAGCAGATACACTGTGATAGGAAGATTCAATAAGATACCACAGTGCTCAACAGCACCATGGTAGTTCAGCCCTGTATGGCTGCGCTGTTTTTAGAAAGTGACAGCTAGTATGGGGATCTTCTCTCCGTGCTGCTGTCACAAAGCGAGAGGACAGCGGGTGGCGGCTGCAGCAGTGGGAACATGTTATATCATCACAAAGGTAAACATATCCTTTAAATCATATATGACCAACCATACACAGCCAGCACCACACAAATATTTGTTCTATATGAGAAACATTTCAATGACTGGCTCTCACTCTCTATGATCATAGCTATTAGATTTGATTTCAGTTTCTCTCTCTCACCCACACACAAACAGGCACAAAGGGCTGTTTCCTTTCATACACTCTGTCTCTGATTGAAGCTTCTGACTAGGTCCTCTGAAGGGAGGACCTGCTCTGACTAAAGCTGGCCATACACGTGTAGATTTTCGGACGAGAATATTTATAAGAAAAGTCATATGAAAATTCTTTGAACATTCAAAATTTGTCTTTTGAGTTTAACATTCGACTTTAAAATGAATGTAATTTCTGAATGATAACCACATACACAAATTCGTTTGATCGAGAAAAGTTTTCCTTCCTGCTCCTTCAAATTTTCCCATCACTGCTTTCAAAAACGAACATCGATTTGACCCCACTAACAATTAGAAAATCATACGAATATTCTTGAAAGGAAAATTCACAAACAAAAATCTCTACGTGTATGGCCAGCTTTATTCATTTCATGTGTAAATCTCTTCTTGAGCAACTGAGCACTGTAAACAATGGGCTTTTAATAACAGGATGTAAGGAAACACAACAACAAATATAAAAGGTTTTTAAAAATGTACCTGCTTGCTGTGTGTGACAATATATAATATTAATATACATACTTTTAATATGCAGCTTTTCATATTTATCTAACTGAAAAAAGCTTTTAAAATATTTTTTATTCCAGACCATAATAAATAAAGAACATTTGTACAAAACCTCTAATTCCTTTAAAGTAGGTATTGGGAGAAAAAAGGGTTGCTATAAGATTTCCTTTCCCTCTGAATGTCTATACATTTAATGACCATACTGGAGGTTTTCATAAGTCAGGCATTGCTGAAAATTTCTGATGACCAGTATTGTTACAAAGATAAAATTTGACATTCATATTAATATTACATAAATGCAAAGATAGGCACATGGAAAAAAAGAAGCACATTAATATAAACACATAATTTCCAAACTTTTTCTTGTAATTCTCAACCAACATTGCCAAATATATCTGGACAATTTTATCAATGGTGGTTAAGTAGCAGTCTGAATATTTCTACCTTTAAGGCTGCTTTCACACTGATCTGTTTTTCTTCCGCTTTTGCGTTTAAAAAAAAGCGGAAGAAAACATGTGCCCATGTGTTCCTATGGAACTCTTCACACAGATTCGGTGCAGGTCTGGTGTGTTTTTCAAAGTTCTGTTTGCAGCATTATTGGTACAGTAAAAATGCACCAAAAATGCACTTCCCCATTGAGATTAATAAAAAAAACGCAGCAAAAATACATCAAAAAAGGTGTTTTTGGTGCGATTTTTGAGTCACCTGTCATGTTGAAAATGCACGGAAAATGTGGTGAAAACTCGGTAAAAACACATATGCAAAAGTAGCCTAACAGTCATGACCTTGTCATGTGATTACTCTCTATGTTCTAAAACCATGTTAACTGCATCCAAACCTAATAATGCTGTGACTTTTAGAATTCATTCTGCAGATTTATTTAATTAAATTAATTCATTTAATTACCCCCCCTCCTCTTGATCACCTGCAGGTACAGGACATATGGAGGTTTTCTATTTTTTTTTTTCCCTATTGGGTGAACTAAGTGGACTCTCTTGTGCCATTTTTCAACTATGTAACTACCTGCCAGGCTGTACAGCAGACACCCTTATGTGGTTGCCCTTACACCCAATGTTCCCCCACCACTCCAATACACCACCTGAACTCCCTGAAATTCCTATACAAGTTTGACTATTTTAAACTATATCTT